TCGAAGGCCTTCGCTATGTCCAAACTAACGGCCAATGCCTCCCCCTTAGACTTTACTGCCTCCGCCCATTTATGAGTCAGGTAGACCAGAAGATCACCAGCTGATCGACCCCGACGAAAACCATACTGGCGGTCACTAATCAGCTGGTGATCCTCAAGGTACCTCATGAGCTGACAGTTTATAATGGATTCCATTATTTTGGAGAACAAGGAGGTGACGGCGATAGGCCTGTAGTTGGACGGGTCTGAGCAGTCACTTTTTTTAGGGATTAGTTGGATCAAAGCTGTCTTCCATGAATTCGGGACTACGCCTTATGAGTAGGAGTACTGGAATGGACGCGTTAAAACCGGTGCCAACTCCGGAGCACACGTCTTCAGCACAATGGCAGGGACTCCATCAGGCCCACTCGACTTGCTGACGTCCAGGGAGAAGAGTACTTTGCGAACCGAGCGCTGTATAAACTGCACATCCGGCATGGAGAGCTCACATCGCGGGATGGTCGGCGGTGTGTTCCCCCCGTCATCTAGAGTCAAGTTGGACGGAAAGAGGGAGCTCAACAGATCGCCTTTCTCCATTGCGGCATGGGCCAGTGAGTCGTCCTGTCTGTGCAGAGATTGGCTGACAGAAGTTCCCTTGAACAGCCTTGGTGAGAGACCAGAATGCCTCGGTCCCCGAAGGAAGACGAACTAGCTTCTCGCCAATTCTGCCGATGTGCTCCGACCTTGCCTTGGAAATGACGCTTGTGAAGGACCTGGAGGCGGAATTATACTTCTTTCTAAGAGCGCTGGTGTTTACATCCCGAGACGTTGATGCGTTAGCCCAGGCTCGGAGCATTCCTGCTTGTATGATGCTATTTTACAGTAGCGACCAAACCATGGCTGGGATCTGCCTCCGATGGGCACCACAGAGGATGGAATAAAAAGTCCCATACCCTGAAGTACCACATCAGCAACAGAATCGGCAACAACGCTGGGATCTTGCGGCGAGAAGCAAACCCGCCCCCAAGGGTAGGGTATGCAAAAAAAAACTGCATCCCGTCCCAATCGGCCGACATATAGTGCCAAACACGGCGGCAAGCTGCAGATCGCAACTGCGATTGGAGCGTGAGAGGCACCGTACTCCGGATCAGACAATTGTACGAAGAGCCCAGAGGGGCATCGACGGCGACCTGATATCCGTCCGAATGAGAGTTCAGCAGAAGGTCCAACAGGGAAGGTACATGGTCCTCAACATCTGGGATCCGCGTAGGCGAAGTAACCAGTTGTATAAGACCATACGCCAAGGCAAAGTCATAGATAAATCTACCCGCATGATCGGTTAAAGGAGAACCAAGCCATTCAGCGTGGTGGGCGCTAAAATCACCAAGTATCACGATCCCTGCGGATGGGACCTGTTGTAGCACGGAGTCTGCAGCTATTTGGACGTGGTCGATGAGTCGGTCTTTGTCAGCATTACTGCTATGGGACCTATAAAGGCACGCGTAGACGCGGGGATGGTCGTCGCAGTCTCTGCGCAGCCATAGGATGGACAGGTCCGTACTTTCAAGACTGCCGAGACGTCGAAAACAGATGTCCTCCCTGACGTATACTCACACTCCAGCCCGGGGCACAAAGGAGTGTTCTTATTTGTACCCCAGGTAGAGATATGAAGTATCAGCCGGAGAGGACACCTGAGTCTTGGTTAAAAAGAGCAAGGCCGGCTTCGCCATCTCTAGATGGTATATTATATAATATACAACGTTAAGGTTGGAATGAAGTCCCCTGATGTTGAAAAATTCACGGATAGCGTGACAGGGGTCGCCTTCGTCTTATTCCGAGCAGTATTAGTCGCTTGCCCCGAGCAGTATTAGTCAGGAGCGGAATATTCGCGGAATTTTGCGGAATTTTATCAGAATACGCGGGACAGCCTGAGAACCCACGCTCAGGAGTGGAGTAGTTTGATCGTGCTTAGCGAGGGATTCTCCAGGGGTGCTGGTACCCTCCTGGGGTAGTCTTTTATTTAATTCGGCTACCTTGTTGATGGGGGAGGGGGGGAGGGGATTGGGCCTCCGGCCACCTGCACTCTCACCAAGAGCAATGCAGAGGTAAACCTCTACTTCACGCTGATATTCTGTGAGGTCGTGGTACCACCCCGGTTCGAGCCGGCCCATCCGTGCGACAGCAAAAGTTGCCGCGTGGCCCAATTTTTATCTACACAATTAAATACAATTGAAGTATGTATTTGTAATGTCTAAATAGCAGCATACTAAATGCATAAAAAAGTATGTATGATAGTTATAACTGTATATACTGTAACTGTAACCGTAGTCTGTTCCTCTGTCTCTGTTTGTTTCGGCAAATCTCCGAAATGGCTGGACCAATTTTGACGGGACTTTCACTGGCAGATAGCTAATTTATAAAGTGTAACTTTTTTTGATTTAAGAAAGAATTAAGAGTTCCGCGCAAAAAAACCCTTGAACGTAATAAACCGATGAAGTCGCGGGAACGGCTAGTAAAAAATAAAAAGTGGAATGTATGCAAAATAACTAATATATTTAAAAACAAAATGTAATTAAAACATGTAAATGAAATTATCAGTTAATTTTACAATGTTTCACTGTTGATTCTTTCATTTGTGGGGCTTAAAGTACATAGAATAATACCACTCCAATACCTGCTAAAAAAGCGAGGCAACAAATTAGATCACAAAAGGCCCGCCAGTAGCCGAATTCGGTGCGCTTGATTTTCGGACGTTCTTTACAGCTGAAACCACACAGAAAATAACACGTAAAATAACACAATACAATATCTTTCTTTCAGGTATCAAGGAATTAAAACTTAAAAATAAACAGAAATATGACAAGGTTATAGAAACTTTTTTGTTCTTTAAATATCTTTTCTTAAGTTAAAAGTTTGAGAACATTGGCCCACAGAGATATAATATTATATCTGTTGGTAACGCACCTGCAATTACCCTGGTGTTGCAGTTGTTCATAGGCGGCAGTAGTCACTTACCATCAGGTGAGTCGCATGCTAGTTTGCCCCCTCTTCTATAAAAAAAATCTTAATCACAATATATATATATATATATATATATATATATATATATATATATATATATATAATAAACAAAAATATGACATGACACTATTTTAGTAACTTTTTTCTTTGGCGCGTTCCTGTATCGGGAGCGAGTAATGCCTCTTTATATTTTGCAGGACCATGGCATACGCAAGATTTGATTCTACGCCTTTGTACGCATTCTGAATGACGAAGCAAACCATTTGGTTCGAATGCGTGGTGTTATCGACAATAAAATGATAACGAGGAACGGATAAGGAGAAATTAAGTCATGTTATTCCTGCGCACGTTCTTTTGAAATGTATCCTAATAAAACACCGAGACGCTGGCTAAACTAGCCACCGCCTGTACTCGAGACAGCTAAGTTTGGTTCTAATCTATCTATTGAGTCTAAATCTATTAGATGTAATTGTTTGCAGCGCTAGCCCATACAATACTCCATGGAATACCGGTAAGAAGGGCTTTCGGTTCTGGTCCTTGGTGCTCTACCACGTAAACGTACCAACAAACTTTCGTAATTATTAAAAGTAAAAAAAGTAAAGTTGCAGCCTATTTACGTCCCACTGCTGGGCACAGGCCTACTCTCATTTCTGAGAGGGTTTTAGGGCAAGGAAATGTCCGCCGCGCTGCCCCAATGCGTGTTGGCGAACTTTACATGTTTTAGAAATATTTTTTTTCTTATTTCTCAGACATGCCGGTTTCCTCACGATGTTTTCCTTCACCGTCGAGCACGTGGTAAATCAACACTTAAAATTGTAATTAACAATTTCATTGGTGCCGGCGGGGATCGAACCCGGGTTGCTCGAGTACTGTGAAGCTTACAGCAAGCGCTAACCATCTGAGCTACCACGGCTCGTAATTTTTTTTATAGGATAAGGGTGACAAACGAGCACACAGTCCACCTCATGGTAAGTGGTTGCTGCGGCCCATAGACATCTACATCAATCCTCTATTACAAATCAAAATGTAGATGCGTTGTCACCCGTGAGGACTAAGATGGAATGCCTCATTTCCAGTAAAAAGGGCCTCCGGCCACCTGCACTCACCAAGCGAAACGCAAAGGTAAACCTCTTACTTCACGCTGGTTTTCTGTGAGGTCGTGGTACCACCCCGGTTCGAGCCGGCCCATCCGTGCGACAGCAAAAGCTCGTGGCTCTACCACTGTTAAAAAAAAATTAATGTAAAACATATTCTATTATTTCCTCTTGAGTAGCAACAAATTTACCTAACTAATTTCTTGAGTCAATAATTACACATTAACAAAGTTTCATAATGAAATTTTATACAATGGTGATGCCGGACGCTATCGCCGAGTGAGTGTCGTAAGATGACTTTTTATTGGAAATGAGGCATTTCATCTCGGTCCTCAAAGGAGACATCTCCATTTTGATTCCCAATCGAGGATAAATGTAGGTGTCTATGGGTCACAGCTTCAGTTTTTTTATAGGGTAAGGGTGACACAGGAGCACACAGCCCACCTGATAAAAAGTGGTTGCTGTGGCCCATAGACATCTACATCTCTCATCCTCAATTACGAATCAAAATGCAGATACGTTGTCACCCATGAGGACTATAATGGAATGCATCGTTTCCAGTAAAAAGGGTCTCCGGTTCTCTACACTCACCATACGAAACACAGCGGCGTTAAGCTGCTATTTTACGCTCATATTCTGTGGGAGCATGGTCCTTCCCCGGTCGAGCCTATCCATTCTTGCTACAACTACTTATATCAGTAATATAACTACAACGTGGCTCTACCACATAAAAAATCATTTACCATCAGGTAGACTGTGTGCTCGTTTGTCACCCTTACTCTATAAAAAATGTAGGGACAAAGGTGCGAGACACGTGATACTGCGATCGCTGATCCGATTGCCAATTATGGCAATTAAAGCCAATTCTCAGTATGGGCCGGTGAAAAAGATGAAGAACCTAAACTTACTATGTGTTTGCATATACAGAGCGCGATTTCCGTTTAACTTTTCTTGAAGTTTCAGCTTTACTAGGAGGTACAGCTTTACTAGGAGGTACAGCTTTACTAGAAGATTTTGCTTTACTTGAAGGTTCAGATTTACTTGAAGGTTTAGCTTTACTTGAAGGTTTAGCTTTACTTGAAGATTTAGCTTTACTTGAAGATTTAGCTTTTCTTAAAGGTTTCGATTCACTTGACGGGTTAGGTTTACTTAAAGGTTTGGCTTTATTAATCTTCTTCGTGTTTTTGCTGAATTCTGGTAAAGAGTGTGTCCTATTGCATAGGGATTGATAATACGAGTGCAGTCGGCGTATCTCTCTTATGCAACGTTCTCTTTCTAAGCTTTCTCTTTCTTCTAGATGTTTCTGTTCTTCTTTCCGCTTAGCTTCTTTTTCTTTGTGTTCTGCCCGCCGTTTTCTGTACCATCGTTTAAATATGTTTATCCTTTCGGGTTCCGGCTTTTTAATGTAATGACGTATGATTAAGGGATACCATTTTTGTTCATCAATCACTATTTTTGGTCTGTAAATTAAAAGTTTGAATAATGGATTTCACTAAATGACAGTTTTTGTTTTGTCACTTGATTTTGTTGACGGAATAAAAGGAACTTAGATGCAATTGTTCGACTTTAACATGGTAGAGCCATGCTGCAGCTATCTTATGGTTGTAGCAAGTGAGAGTAAGGGAATAGAGAGTACACCTGTGCTTGTTGTTGAGGCTGGCCGCCGTAACCGAAATTCGGTCTGTAGGACATTATTATTAATATGAAATATTATTAAGAGACCGGGGAAATTTTGATAACAATTTTCTAGATGTTTCTTGTTACCCACGTACGGCCGTATACAGAAAGAAAGCTGGCAGCCTATCAGCGCTTATAGGGACCGGTCCACGCTGGTAACCGGCGCAGGCATTTATATGAAAAGGCGTCGATAAGCGCCGACAAGTTCCGACAATCTTCGACACGCGCCGGTCAGCGCTGGCGCCGCCCGCCATTTAAAATTAATGAACAACTAAGTATACGACAATACGTACAACTACGACACGCATATATTTTTGTTAAGGTGGCACAAGTCGCGGGCTCGAACTCGCTGGTGGGCGCGGCCAAAAAGCTCGCTGTCTCACCTGGCATCGTGCCCGACAGAGATAGTATCAGTGATGAGCATATCGACACTAGTATTCACGCACGTCTTGTTCGTACGGCATTCAAAACCGTTTGAACAAAAACGAAGTTACACGAACACGATGCAACATCTATACTAATATAATAAAGCAGAAAATATAGATCTTTACTCCGTCTAAAAAAAAGTCCGCGATACCATATGTCTATTTTTTATATATAAGCCACAATTAGGCATTTTGATTTTGACAAAAAAAATGAAAATTTAATTATTAGGCATGGCATTTTTATACTTAGTCCTTACGAACGAAAGTTACTTCATTATCAAGACAATTTTTTGAAGATAAAGTTCGTTCTTTATACCATGTTTATATAGTACATAGTTTAAGAGATAATGTAAAATTAAAATAATTCAATACTTGGCCTTGACGCGCAAACAACGCATAACCCTTAGCCCGGTGTGAACTGAGAAGCCAGTATTGAAAGCTTCTATGAGCGAGGTTAGGTTAGCCGTTAGTTCAATCATTATCTATATCTACACAAATAAATAAAATTGAAGTGTCTGTTTGTAATGTCAAAATAACAGCTTTTTACTAATTGCATATGAAATTATATACGCTACTTATAACATTAACACTATTTTCAACAGTTTTGTATGTCTATCAGTCTGTTTGTTCCGATTAATTTCCAAAACGGCTGGACCGATTTTGACGGGACTTTCACTAGTAGATAGCTCATGTTATAAGAAGTAACTTAGACTGCTTAAATTTTAGAAAAATTATTAGGTGTCCGTGCAACAAAATTAACACCCTAAACTAAATGCGGACGAAGTCGCGGGGAACAGCTGGTAGCTAAAATAAATTCAAAATTAACTGAGTGCTTTTATTTATCTCCCAGGTGAGCGTAACAATGATTAGTTACATCTTTATTTCTGAACTCTTTCATTTCACGTTGCTATGGTATTTTGAAAGTTTAATTGATTAATAAGTATAAGAGGTTGATAGCAAATTTATCAAGAATCATTTCTTGCCTACACACTTTCATGTATCGTGTACGTTTTTCTTTAAAACTGGATAAAACCGCGCATAGTATGCCGACAGATAAAATAAAAGTACTCCATTAATTATGACAATTTTTCCATACATTATTATCAAATAAAATATTTGATTGCAATTATAAAATGCTTGAACTAGGTGTCATGTCATGCCACGCATCTCGGACACGTGATGACGCGGGTGAAACCGCGAAATTATTAGGCGCTGCTTTATCGCTTCATATTATACCTCTGTGGCTCTATATACCTAATATAGATTGCTTACTTTATTATGTTTAGTTTTTCCCGAGTGACCACTCGGGAAAAAATGCAGCGATCACTCAAGAGTTCGGCTTCGAACGTGTATAACTGCAAAAATTATCCAACGGGAACGAAATACCTGAATAAACGGTATCATATATGTTATTTACAGCTCCGTGGCGCAGTTGCTTAGCAATGAATTGTTGCACTGGCAGCCGCGGGTTCGAATCCCGCACGGAACAAGTATTTGTATGGCCTGCAAATAGTTGTTCCGGGTCTGGATGTTTGTAAACTGCCTCCACGATACAGGAGAAAATCCTAGTGTGGGGGTAACGTTTTTTTTTTTAAATAAAAAAAATAATAAAATTCCAGACTACAACCTATCTCTGAGCAAAATATCATCCAGGTCCCTTCAGCGGTTCTGGTGTGATTGAGTAACATACATCCATTCATCCGTCCATCCAAATATCCAAACTTTCGCATTTATAATATTTAGATAATAATTGTAATTAGTTCTGCCTACCTATAAATCGTTTTCAAAAATACTTACCTGTCTTCTTACTTTTTTATATATACTCAATATCACTAAATGTAAACACAGGTTTTTATCAAGACAAGTGACCCATCAAGATTGTTTTCTTAGTACTGACGTACCTACCTAAAGTTTACAATTTTGTGGCCACGACGCGGTGACGTTTTGTGACATTTTGTTGTATTGTAGGTTGTAGGTATCTAGGTAATAACAGTAGGTACCTATGAAAATCCCACATAATATGCCTTGTTTGTCCACCGCAAGAGTCGTCTAATAAATAATTAAACTGTTTTGTAATTCTTTATTTATTTATAACACTTGCATTGAGGGCCGTGGTAGCTCAGATGGTTAGCGCTCGCCGTAAGTATCACATTACGCGAGCAACCCGGGTTCGATCCCCGTCGGCACCAATGAAATTGTTGCAATTTTATATAGTAATCGTATATAGACTACTTTTTTTACCTTTATAAATTATATTATATTACAGACGAAAATTTTACAATATTGTCTGTCGTCCAAAACGCATCATTCATCTCTTTCAATTATATCAATTTCCATGCTGCCTTTTGTCTTTGGCGTCCAAATTACAAAATAGCAAAACTTTTCGTTTCGAATAGAACTCGAATGAGCGCGCGTCACCGCCCGTGCATGTGTGTGTAAGCGTCGTCCTCCCGCACCGCACCGGGGGAAACATTATTCAGTGAGATGCACGATAATTCATAGTAACATACGCGCGTAAAAAAATACGAAAAGGCCTTTAGAAGAAGGGGTTTTATGAAAAAACCACTGCATAAATCAATTACAAATAAAATTTATTGAATTCTTCGATAATTGAGCTGTGTCGGTACCGACTTTGTTTTGGAAATTTTACACTTCTTTTATTACTAATTTACGCCCAAAGTTGTGTTAAAATTGGCAATAAAAACGAATCTTTGGTAGCTCGTAACTTTTTAATAACATTTTATTTTACTATTCTGTTTCCGTACAGACAAATTTAATAATGAGACAAAACGATATCATGTTTAACTTTGGATGTACACTGTCAAACAGCGTAGTAAAACCCCTCCGAAATTTGTATGGAAATATTGTCGACTAGTGTCACCTTAAATAGAGAAATGAATAGTGATGTGTTGATTGTACGGAAGACGGCATATCAAGGGTAACACTTAGATACTTTTTAAAATCGCTCTTATTACAAAATAATAAGGTGTAATTGTTTTATAAATAAATGGTGGTATTCTGCGAAACTTTTCCTTTCTCTATTAATAGGATGTATAGCTTATTTTCGCATTTTAAAATACACATTTTCTAACAAAACTAATTCATCGTCCGATGAGCACAACATTTTGCTCGCTCTGCTTCAATCGGCTTGCTTTATGTAACTGTTATCAGAACAGTCCAGCGCCGATATGCGCTGGTAGATCGGCGCCGGCCACCAGCTTTCTTTCTGTATACGGCCTACTACTGAAGTACAACTTTGCATTTTAAGTAATAAGGTGTTTGCTAAATATTTTGTAAGTTACCTAAGAAATATTTTAGAGACGCGTACCGTACATGATGCAGAAAACGTCTTATAAATGTGATAAGTAGACATCGGATTTTATGCATTTGCATATTTGCATATGCAAATGCATATAACTCTCTAATTACGGCGTTAATGCATATTTTAGCCTTTTTCCCCAATCGTGCATATTTCGTTTAGTAGCGGGAGGTGCGTATAGGGACAAATTTGCGCTCGTAAATTTGGAAAAATATTTACTTGTATATTGTCATAAAAACTATGTATAATTTTAGGAACATTTCGCTGTTTTTGTACCGACTTTAATTAAAATATATAAAATAAAAATGGTTTTTTGATTTTGCATTGTGCATATTTGGACATATTTTGGCCTTTTTAGTGCATATTTGCATGCATATTTTGGCACTTTGTTAGTGTATATAATCCGATGTCTAGTGATAATAATCTCTGCCCAGCCGTGAAATTTTGTTATACGGTTATTATATTCTTGTACATCCTACATTATGTAAAAACTAATTACTTACGTAATACTAAGTAATTGCGTGTAGAGTTATCTTACCTTAAGATAGCAATTGGACTGTTTCCTTTACAGCATGTATCAATTTCTGGACATGATATAGACTTCCCGCGAGAAATGCGTAGATTTTTTAAAAACATTTGGAAAACATTTTTCTAAATTGTTTTAGTTGCCTTTACAATGTAAAATAAAAGACTATATGTACATTTTATGACATTTTTTCAGTTACTTTAACATGACACAGATAGATTTTATACAAATGTAGTGATTTCTCTTTGAATTTGATGGCCTACATATTAAGTATGTAAGTTTCTGAGTTATGTTTAGTCAACTTATGTCGTCTGATTTAACATCTGTCAAAATAAATTAAAGAAGCGTACAAATTCATAGACAAATCAAGAACCCTCTTTATTTCACTTTATTAGCCACTTTTAACCCATTGCTGGCCTTTTTAATGTATTCTGAAAAATATAATGGATCATACGTGGTAGAGTCACGCTGTATCTATATTATGGTTTAGTCATGAATTGATCGGCTCGACCGGTGAAGTACTACGTTCTCACAGAAGCTCTCACAAGCTGGTATACTTTGAATAGCAGTTTAGCTGCTCTGTTTCGTATTGTGAGTGTAGAGAACCGGAGACCCTTATTAATGGTAACGAACGAGACATTGAATCTTAGTCTTCAGTAGTCGCATCTGCAGTGTGTTCGAGTATAATTATTCACTAACCGTCGTTCGTTTGTCACAATTACTTCTAAAGAAACAAGAAATGAGTCAATTCACATCCATACCTTCGAGTTAGTAATGCTTTCCAAATGATTTTGGATTAAAAATCGAATGAAATTATTATTATATATTTTTTATGCAAGACTAAATTCAAATTTATTTCTGCATTTTCGCTGTGTGAAGTGGACTGTGAGTTCGTTTGTCACTTCAATTTAACAATAAAAAAAAATTGGTGGTGTAATCGCGGTTTGGATATTTTACATCTGTTATAAATATATATAAATACATATTATGCTGCTATTCTACGCTGGTATTCTTTTTTATAAAACTGAAGTGACAAATTAATTAAAAATCCACATGCGCCTAACTTCACGAAGAAGGATACAGATACGTTGACACTTCTGAACTCTGAGGACTACGATGGAAAGCCTTACAGTCTGTGTACTGGCTCTCTTTAT